CCTAACGTCGTCCAATGTCGCTCAATTAATGTCGCCCAGTTTCGCCCAGCGACGCGTACAACTTTTCTTTGAAAATTGCCGATGACATACAATGTCGCCTAATGCATGTCGCACAATGTTGTAGATAATAACGGCGACCTTGGCCCCCAAAGTAGGCCTACATGTTGGCTGCATGCTGCTATAATGTACGCTAACTCATGCATGTAAGTGCAAGTGTAAGTAAGCCAACTTGTCATGCTATATATTATATCATTAGGTCAAGGGGTCGGTTGTACGAAGTTCAGATAGCTCTATCTATATAGATATTTTCCGAAATTGTCAATTGATTATTAGAATGACCTGGATTAATTAAACTTTAGTAGAATTTATGAAATAAAATTTCTTTTGAATTTAAGTTTTTATGAAATAAAATTTCTTTTAAATTTTTAATATTAATTATATATGAACGAACCTTTATGGGACAACGCTAATCTCTGTGTCGTTGCATGCAATAGTGCATAGGTCATACGATCTCTGCACTAAAAAACACTTAAATTAACATACCAATATAAAAATTTACTAGAAATAAAGATGCCTTTCAAGTAGTCTGTATTTTCACATTTGCGGTAAAGAACTTCAGAATCTATCTTTTATTTCTGGCGGGTATTTTTCACCAGGCGAATTAGTTCGCGCGAAGTTAAGTTACTTTTCCCTTTGTCGCGGCATCTCTTATTACGTCAGCAAAAGTAATGCTTTCATATTATGTCCTGCTTCAAGCAAAATAAACAAAGTCGTAACAATAACGCTGTGAAGTTTATCCCCATGACGAGTTAGAAAATTGTTTCGCTTTCCTGATTGGATTATATGCATCAGTGCTAAGCGAGTTTTTGTATAAGTAAATCAATTCATAAACTTACAAGGATATTTGATATTTTATACTCAAGGACAGGTATTTATAGAGGATAAGTCTGGTAGCTAGTACCGGTCTCGTTACATGGCCTTTTTGATGAACAGCAAATGATCAAGTATTCAGTCACCTTAAAATTTTGATATTGTATTGGCTCAACTACCAGTATACACTTAAAATTCCAGGATACGACTGTCTGCATGCATGAGTACTTAATCTTGGGCAAACATAGGATAGTTTCTAGATCTACCTGTGTTTCAATGTATTTCAACAATAAAATACTGTATACCAAAATAGCGTAAATACCAATATACCTGAAATTCTGGGCCTTGTCTGACTTATACATAATTCTATGGGCGGTAAATAAGACTTTTGTAAATTAAACAGGAGTTGGAAGAAATGTCATCATGCATGGAATGCTAATCAGCTGAAATGACAGTATGAATTCAATGCAGATGCATGAATTGTACATGTTCATAGACTATAACTGGGACTGTCCAGGAAGGGTTTCAGCTACATCGGATTGTTTTGTAGTGTGATAGTTGTTACTTGTTAATAATGTACATTTCAACCCGCCAACCTTCTATTTTTGTGTGCAAGCCCTTGTGCACTTACCCTGGTTGCCAGAGGTTTTCATATCTTCCGCCCTATTCTCGCTCGTATTTATTTCACGGGTTCCTTCGTACAAATATAGGGCACAAGAAACTCTGGAACCAGGGTAATGTGCACTCGAAAGTTCAATTTTTTGGAAAAATTCTGGTGTTCGAGAAATAAAAAATATCTACCTACCCAAAAAATAAATACCTAACTACCCATATTGAACACCGCTTTAAAACGTAAAATGTCGGACAAAAATGTCTGCCAAAATAATACGAGTGCGTAAGTACGCGGAATCGCACAAAAGAGTCTACTATAAGGAAACGGCTAAAGGTATATAAGCTCGGGATTTATCGTTTTTCCCCTGGTCACAAGAAGAAGTTACTGTATACTGAGTTTATACTCTTGTAATTCTCTTTATACTTTTTGCTAGAGCCTCGTGGAGATAGTCTATAATATTTCCAGTCTTTCAAATACTGAAGTAATTAATAGTCAATACGCGGAAGTTCCGTCCCATACTGATCATGCACATAAATTCTCAGAAAGTTTCGATATTGAAATTGTCAATTCCCTGTATTATATTTTGGTTACACAGCCACAGATATCAGATATAAACACCTTATTTGTGTCCCCAAACTCACGCGCGCTCTCAGAATTCCAGCAGGTCATAAGCCGTAAGTGAGATTAAAACTGAGCAAGCGAACTAATCCACGCAAAAAGATTTGCTGCCTAAATACGCACAAAATCGTAACCGTTACGCACAAACTGTATAAATCGTTACACACAAACTGTATGAAATGTATTTTACATTAGATTCGTTCGTTACTCTTCTACATAAAAAATCTGGTGTGCTCATTTTCTTTCTCATTTTCGCGGCCTAAATATTGTAAAAAGCTACCCGCTCGCGTAGCCAAACAAATTGCAGGAAATCACATGAATTTACACATCATTTTATGCGGTGGATCATACCATCTTCATTAAAGTGTAGATAGACGATTGTTGCAAATGATTTGATTTCATATATAATTGTTATTTTTCAAGAGCAGCAATTCATTGGCCGTATTCAAATTCATTGACATTGTGATATCCGCCATGTTGAAACTGCGACAATTCAGGACAGAGCCATTCAGCTTCAAATTTGACAAACAAGTGAAAGATATACAATATTAGAACTAGGTTTATTCAATTCAATATCATATCTCGTTTTAGCCATGCAAAAGTTGCCAAAAGAAAGGTTTTGATATATGCGATAAATAATATTAAACTTCATTTCAAGATTGTGTTTCTAATTATAAGAATATTATTCTAGGATGGAAAAATATTATTCTTTAAAATAAGAAAAAAATTCTCTCGAATATTCTTGCCCAGTTATATGTTCTTAATTTAAGATTTTTGTTCTTAAAACTAGATTTTTTTTCTTGAAATATTTTTTGATAAGAAATATTTACTTAAATAAGAAAAATAATCTAAAAACTAAGAATATTATTCTAGACTAGAAATTGATTTTTTTTCAGTGCAAAATAACACACAGGCATACATAGCTGTACACAAAGAAAAAAATAAAGTACAGTATATTATTCTGAATCCTTGTCATTGGGATGTTCATTTGTTTAGCTAGTCAGTTTGATTTCATCAGAAGACGAAAATCGCACTAGAAATCGCAGCAAAAATTGCAAGTGTAAATGGGCTTTTTTTCTTCTGAAGAAAAACTATTGCCGGTTAAATGAAGCCAATATTGTTCCGCAAACATGCGTATCTAAAAGTGATCCTAAAATTTCTATTCACGAAAAAGCGAAAGAAAAGTAAAGCATATACTTACCAGAAAATATCACAGGAAACGTGAGATCACCAGTATCGACGTAAACGTTTTCCTTGGATGTGGCAAGATCCAGCAGTCCGCACATGGGAATTTGTAGCGCAAACATATCGTTAAAGAGATTAAAAAGAAAGGTTTTCATACATTTTACCTATCATGCTTAAACCTTCTTCGTATTTTCTACAGCCTTCATATCTGTCAGACTTATTAAACCTCAATAATTAGCTCCTGTTTTCTTATTGAAGCAGATCGAGCAGCTGGCCGCGACTACTGTGCCGCCTATGAAATAGGTACGCAGTAATTCATATTATTGCGTGTTGTGCGAATTTACATAACAGTTTATTAAGAGTTATATAAACATTTTTGTTACTATCAACAAACTAATTTATGAAGTGTAATTAAGAAAATAGATATGGCAATCGAATTGATTTTAGCTCGAGAGTCAAAAGAGCTCAGCATGAGCAGACCTGCCATGCATGCAGCTGTTTCCAGTTAACTGAAAGCTGACATGTGCTGAAAAGAGATCCGTACAACGGCGAAACATTGCTTCTTGGCGCCTTTTGTCACTAATCAGTCCAGTCAAACCCGACCTTAAATGAAATTACGCTAAATTTTGAAATCTGCATGTGCACAAAAATACTGTCTTGAGTTAATGTCAATATAAATTTGCTACTAGAAGATGCGTGTCATCAGCAATGATAGTCAATTTGTATTTTTTTTTTTAATTTAAAAGCCTGTAAATTACTTAATATTCCTTTTTCAATTAGAGTCCTTTCAATAAGGAAATATGCTGGGATCACAACCGCAACAATTGTTCCGAAAAGAATAGTAAAAATACCAGTGCCTATTTTAACATATATCTGGGGGGACACGTTACATGCTCGAAGCTGAAACTGATAAAGTACGTCTCGACTGAGGAAATAGACGATATACTGGAGCAACTTGATTTGTGAAATCTCGTTAAAGCAGCTGTATATATGGTTCCAAGAAGAATAGATTTAGTTTAGAGTTTTAACTGTTAAATACATGTATGCATCATCATAGCATGAATATTTCTTCTCAGACTTATTCTGTATCGTATGAAAAAGCAACGCAATTTTGAGAATGCGGAAATGGCGTCTCAGAACCTAAAATGATTTAAATGCAACATTTCTGATCAAAATCACATTGGGATTCACAGAGAGGAAATAAGGTGACATTGACTGACCCCTCCTCTTATTTTTCAAGGTGACCTTTCCAATTTATTTAATTCCGAGTAGAAATCTCTGGAAAAATTCATGTCTTCGTCTCTTCGATATACTCTATAATCTTCGGAATTTTTCCGGACCCCGAACCCTCCTAGCCGGTCTCACGCCTTTGGCGTGAGGTCTCCCCCCCCCGCCCCCGCAAAATTAAGGTTTGGCTACGCCACTGGTTATAGCTGTACGATTATAGCTACAAAGAGTTGAAGTTATTGTTTAAAGTAAAATATAGCTGAAGTTAATAAATTAAAGTTTTACAAAATCTCTCTTCAGACTCGCGCGTTCGCCAAACCTCGACGGCTCATATTTTTCGTTCTGCCTTTTTTTGCTGTTTTGCCCCCCAAGCGAAAATTCCTTAAAATCCAGTTGTAACTTTGAGATCAGTTAATTAAGGTACGCCTGCCCGCGTTTTCTGTGGGCAGAGGGTTCGCTTTTGAGTACAGGAGATATCATCTAGCGCAAAAGCAAGTTTTGTACTTTTGTTTGAAAATATTGTTGAGGAAATAGGCGAGAAGAAATAAAAGTCAAACAAAAAAATCTAGATCTGAAGTGAGTAGATTTCTTTACTTTCAAACATTTAATTTAGTAGCAATAGTAGGTTTGCTTTTGAAATCCGTTAATTATACAATCTTTGTTATAAGACTCATTCCAGTCACAATCTGCAAGTGCAGATATATGCTTCTGGATACTTTTTCCATCAAAGCACAGAGAAATGGGGTTTTTCATTTGATTCTGCTGCGCTGTCATTGTGGGTTATTACTGTCTGACAATTAGGTGATTTTATATGTCATCTTTATGACATATCTCCATTTTTGGCATGGTTTTTACTGGGAAACATGATGTAAAAGAAATAGTCTAGGCTAAGTAACATAAGTAAGCCGTAATACTTGACGAAATCCGTCAGTGAAAAGCCCCAATGGGCAGTGAGCCGAATAATAATGGCATATACATGCATGTAATGTAAATGCATTTTCATCTGTCTTATCTTATATTGATTATACTCTTTAACCCTTCAAGTAGCAATGTGCCCTGATGCACCCTAGTTTAACCTATCTGACACCAAACCATTTTACTCATCAAGGAGAGTGTGCTGCCACTGATTGTGTTAATGTGGTTTTCAAATTCTGTTTCTACTTGATTTTTACTGCATTAACAATAACAAGGTCACTTTTGTATTTACATTATAAAAGCATACGTATTTTACACACACACATCCTAACTCTCAGGTGTTTATCTTCACACTAGAATAGCTGAATTGTTGAAGATCGTCCAATTTTTTATATTTTTCAGGTAGTTTTTAGTATACAATTAAGCTTTTAAAGTACATGAAATCATGTCTGATCACTGTGGAAAGAGACTGATAAGAGATGAGAGAGCACACACTGGAAACAAAGCTTCTGAATACCATGTTTGTAAGAAGAGATTTACATGCTCAAGCAGCTTGTTTCTGCATAAAAGAACACACATTGGAGACAAACTTTATGAATGCGATATTTGTAAGAAAAGATTTACACAGTCAGCAGGCTTGTTGCGACATAAAAGAATACACAGTGGAGACAAACCTTATGAATGTGATGTTTGCAAGAAGAGATTTACACAGTCAACAGGCTTGGTGCGACATAAAAGAACGCACAGTGGAGACAAACCTTATGAATGCAATATTTGTAAGAAGAGATTTACACAGTCAGCAGGCTTGGTGCGACATAAAAGAACGCACAGTGGAGACACACCTTATGAATGCGATATTTGTAAGAAGAGATTTACACGCTCAAGCAGCTTGGTTCTGCATAAGAGAACACACAGTGGAGGCAACATTTATGAATGTGATGTCTGTAAGAAGAGATTTACACAGTCAACAGGCTTGGTGCAACATAAAAGAATACACAGTGGAGACAAACCTTATGAATGTGATGTTTGCAAGAAGAGATTTACACAGTCAACAGGCTTGGTGCGACATAAAAGAACGCACAGTGGAGACAAACCTTATGAATGCAATATTTGTAAGAAGAGATTTACACAGTCAGCAGGCTTGGTGCGACATAAAAGAACGCACAGTGGAGACACACCTTATGAATGCGATATTTGTAAGAAGAGATTTACACGCTCAAGCAGCTTGGTTCTGCATAAGAGAACACACAGTGGAGGCAACATTTATGAATGTGATGTCTGTAAGAAGAGATTTACACAGTCAACAGGCTTGGTGCAACATAAAAGAATACACAGTGGAGACAAACCTTATGAATGCGACATTTGTAAGAAGAGATTTACACAGTCAACAGGCTTGGTGCAACATAAAAGAACACACAGTGGAGACAAACCTTATGAATGCGACATTTGTGAGAAGAGATTTACACAGTCAACAGGCTTGGTGCAACATAAAAGAATACACAGTGGAGACAAACCTTATGAATGCGACATTTGTAAGAAGAGATTTACACAGTCAGCAGGCTTGTTGCAACATAAAAGAACACACAGTGGAGACAAACCTTATGAATGCGATATTTGTAAGAAGAGATTTACACAGTCAGCTGGTTTGGTGCAACATAAAAGAACACACACTGGAGACAAACCTTATGAATGCGATGTTTGTAAAAAGAGATTTACACGCTCAAGCAGCTTAGTTCTGCATAAAAGAACACACAGTGGAAACAAACCCTATGAATGTGCTGTTTGTAAGAAGAGATTTGCGCAGTTAAGCACATTAGTTAGACATAAAAAATTGCACACTGGCGAAAAACCTTATGAATGTGATGTTTGTAAGGAAAGATTTACACGCAAACTATCTCTTGTTTGGCACGAAAAGCAACATTTGTTGTGCAACTCTTGCACCAGCGAGATTGTTCAACCTGAAGATTTGAAAGAACATTTTGTCGAGGATAAACAGAATGGAAAATACGTGTGCAGTAAATGTGACAAATGTCTTTATAATTTTATGAAATTATTACAACATATTGCAAAGCAGCATGGTAGTGATGGAAAATATCTATGTGGTTTATGTCAAGAACTGGAATCAACAGAACCAACTGGTGTTGGATATGTTTGTTGTGTTTGTGATGTTGTGTTTGATGTTCCCAGAAAACTCGAAGATCACATCGCCACCCATGACACAATGCAACCTCTTGAATAAGTTTCTACTATTGCGCTTTCAGGAGTCTTGTGAAATGTTTCTGTGTAGGATCTGGGTTACTTTCCAGTCAATAGTTTTATATTTTGGGATAGCGTTATATAAATTTATCTAGCAATGTGATAAATGTTTAAATGTATGATTATATAGTATTTATGCAATGTTAGTTGGGATATGTCAAGGGGAGTGGTTACATTTTGATCTGCCCAACAAAAAACGATTTGCCTGACATAATTTAAAAACAATCTATTGCTACAAAATTAGTAGCAAAAATAATGTTCGTAGCCACTTGAGGATTTGAAAGTAATTATAGGTCGTTTGCACCAGAGTGTTTGAAAGTTACTTCGAGCAAAATTTCAAATAGGCGTGAACATTGGAATATTACATTATCTTGAACGTTGAAATTTTGTTTAGGAGCATAATTTTCTTGAATTGTGATTTTTTTTGACATTGGTGATTTTGAAGTTGGTTGTTATTTTGGTGACTTTCCTGGGGTTTCAGAAGGATATTTCGAGCTAACAAATGTAAATGTTTACGATGATATATTAAGTAATTAAAATGAAATAAGCTCACTACAAAATTGACGAGATAATTATATAACATTGGCCTGAGCATGGAGAACATAACACAATATTTTTTAAAATAATACGATAACATTCTCCTGTTTCTCCCACGAATAATGTTCTCTTTATATTGACGGGATGTTTGTATGGAGGCGATCTGGATCGGGTCCCCGAGCATGGCATATTTTAAAGATTTACAAGTGGGGCATAACTTGGAAAAGGGCCCATTGAGCGAGCGCCGAGTGCACGAGTTTTGTATGGGAGTCGGGGGCATCTTTCCCAGGAAAATTTTGAAATCTGGAGACTCGTGCAAAATTGCTATTTAGTGCGTTTTGGGAGCATTTTAAATAATTCTGAATACAATAAAAAGTTAATGTTTAACACTTTTACTCGCAATGTGCTTGTCTTTCAACATATATTTTAACTCAAAGTTACTGTAATATATAAAAGTTAAAGTTTACAAACATCCAGACGAATCCCTAAATAATTACTTCATATACTCTCATTAACTATGATAAAAATATACAGACAAAGACTTACTATATTCATTCACATTTCATGATTTCACACAAAAATATGTTAAAAGGGCCCAAGGAGTGGGGGCCAACTTTGCATGAGTGGGGGGCCAACAGGAGGGCCAGGGAGTGGGCAAATGCCCCCCAGTATATATGTTAAAATATGCTTTGTACCCGAGGTATAGGCCGTTGGTTGCGTCCCGATATCGTTCAATTTCATTTAGCATGTCTTTGATCTGAAATATTTTTACGGGAACTAACACTTTCAAACACGCTGAGTTCAAATCAGAAATTCCCGCTCCGTTGACCCGCAATTTTGTCACAAACTGTTAAATCTTCACTAGTTTCACGACAAATTTTTTCATTGTTCAACGACACGATCGATGACGACGCACTGTCTATTATGTCACTCAAAAGGACCAATTTCTATTATAACCAGTCTTCCTTTTAATAACAAAATGCCGCTTTGCTCGAATCATGAGTTATGTAATCTTATGCGTTTTGGACATAAACAAGATACTGGGGCCGGTTGTATAAAACTCTTAATCACTTTTTTAATCATTATTTTGTAGTTAAATAGTGATTAACTCTCAAATACGCGCTTCTTATTGGATGACGTTTCCACTAACTATAGTTAACTTTAATCACTTCAGTTTTTATACAACCGGCCCCTGGTCTACAACTTTGAGAACGTACTAATAACGCTGTCTAAAATCATCACTTGTACCGATATCTCTAAAAATCACAAAAAAAGACGTTAATATAAGTCTTTTGGCCATTTTTTAACGCGATAAGAAAAGCGGTCTTTTGTTAAATGTAGAGACTGGTTCATAGGAATTAGTCATCTTGGGTTATGCTATCGTGTGTCTTCATTCATCCGTGTCGTTGAACAATGATAAAATTTGTCGTGAAATTAGTGAAGATAAAATAGCAGTTTGTGAGAAAACTGAGAATTTACGGAACGGGAACTTTTCGGATTTGAACTCAGCGTGTTCGAAAGTGTTGGTTACCGTGAAAATATTTCAGATCCAAGATACGCTAAATGAAAATCGTCATCTAGGCACTTTTCGAGGTCACAGCAAACGACCTAGTAGGTCGCTTTCTGATTTCATCCCATCACATTTCGTGTTTACATGGTACGTCTTTTAATTGAGTGGCTCGCCAAAACAAAGCACTAGCCAATAAAAAAGTATTCGGTTTCAAGTCAGCGCACGCATCGTCTTTGAAGGGGCTGTGTCACGGCGCTGATTGGCTAAAATAAATGGCGCAAAGAAACGTTTAAAATTAATGCTACATGATTGGAAAAGATGCAGCAGCCTTCAATTTTTAAAACAAAGCAAGGATGTCCTGCATAACGAAGGGATTATAAATTGCATATCGTATTTCACTCCTAACTTGATTAATTGTTGGCAGACAGTTTTTCAAGTTCGCGCATATTTTGGATGCGCAGTAGAACGGTGACACTGCTCCTTTAATTATGTGCGTCAACGTTTTGACCTTCCATCCCCAGGTCCCCCGAAAAGTCCTATCTTTTGCAATTCCCCATCACCTGGTTGGGTCCTTTTTCTTAGGTTCCCATTTGCAAATTCGTACATTTTCCTGTTTGGATTTCCCAGTACACATACAGCCCTGAATAATTATAATCTAGGGAGCTGTACTCAGAGAGCTCCTTCGCTATGTGTGATATGCTGCTATTTTATGTTTTTTGGGCAGTACTGATAAGATTTCTTTAAAATAATCCCTGGCTGATCATCTCAAGGAAATTTCTTCCCTGGTCAAGGAAATCTACTCAAACATACTTCATCCATTGGCATGTTTTTTGTCAGAGAATAAAGCATATTCTTGTAATATTCAGGGTTCGTACGGTCCTGGAAAACCTGGGAAAGTCATGGAATGGGCGTACGAATTGAAAGGGGGTAATTAAGTCGACAATTTTTCTATAATTTAACATTGGGCAGATATTCTACTTAAAAATTGCATAAATAATGATTCTGGGCGATCCAAATTTGCTCTAAAATTTATGCTAACTGTAGTTGTATTTGAAATAAAAGATGGAAAAATGCACAAAAAGTAAAAAAGAATATTAACTGTAATTTATCATTATTTATTAGAGGGATAATCCCAAGAAAATTTTTGAAATTTGAAACCGTGAAATGCTATTTTCTGCATTCTGAGCATCCAAAAAATAAAAAAAAATATTAACAATAATTTATCATGGCTTAGTGGTAAAAAAAGTAACAATTTAAATCGATTTTGTTAAACAAGAACAAAGGATAAAGCCTAAAACTTACTTTCCGTTTATCTATTTGTTAATCTTCGCTGGATTGTTTGTATAATTTTAGGAAAAAGGGACTTTTCCTGGGGGGGCAAAATGTGATTTCGTGGGAGGGCACAAGGGGGGACTGGGGGACAAATGCCCCCCCCCCCAGCTTGTATGTTAAAAATGGCCCTGCCGCTGAAGGCCACTACACGGGCTAAAAACGCACAGCTTGTTGCAAGTTGATATCGACAGGCGTGAACAATGTTGTGCGGCCAACCGCTATGAACAAGTTGTCAACCATGTTGCTCCAAGTTGTAACAGTTGAACAATGTTGTAACAACATGTTAACAATACTGTTCATACTGGGCCGCACAACCTTGTTCACACCTGTCGATATCAACTTGCAACAAGTTGTTGATTTTATCAATTTTTACGTGTGTAGGCCAGTACCTAATTCCTATTCGGACAAGATGTTTGTTTGTCTACCACTATATATAAACCACAATATTTTAACACATGTGAGTCAGCAATGATCAGCAATTACCCCAGTTGATTGAACGATTAGCACTATCCAGTTCCAATTTCAGATCAGTTAATTGAGCCACTTGCCCACGTGTATATCAGTGCCCACGCTTCACGCTTCCTGTCCCAGCGGCTTTATTGCTCATACATAGTATGATAGTGTTTGATCGAGTATATTTCAGCAGAACTCGCTTTCGAAATAAATCAGATCAATACCAACGAAAGATTAGTTAAAATAGCAGCACAGGACAGCTAAAAATTTGCATTTTAACGACAGATTACCGCAATATTTTTGCTCAAACTTTCGTTTTGACACTTGAGCACATGTTTACAACTCCTTCAACGCCGCGCGCAAAATAATGCACAAAAGGCCTGAAAACGAGCAAAAGAATCAACCAATCAGACCAAAGTCGCCTTTGTTGGTAAGTACAGACGAGTACAAGGATTCTACAATTAAGGAAGACATCCATATAATAATTCGTGAATTTTGTTTTATTTTTACGTGAATCGTGATCGCTTCAATTTTTCCGTGAACGTGAAGGAATTTTTTCAATTTTTCGTGACTCGTGAAAAGGCAAAATATTTTTACGTGAAAGCATATTGTGAAGAGGTATAGGGGGCCCTCTTTTTTGTGCCGCGCGGGTGGCGCAAAGAAAAGTTCAGGCGTTTGGTTTACTATGACGTCGCTCAAATAGATCTAGTGGTATTCATAAAACGTAAAAGGCTACCTTACTTTGAGATATACCATGTTTACTTACGTGCAACATATATTGACTGAGATATCGCCAAATAAAATTTAAAACGAAATTTTGAGAATGTGACAAATATTAAACTGTTTTGATAAATGTTAGTATTTTGTCAAACATATTCCTTTGTATGAATTGAATGTGTGATTAATGGCTTTCCCCATTTATTTTTTGTTTTATCATTTGAAGAGCATAACAATTAGTCGAAAAACAAAGCTGCTTCGATTAAGAATCTCTTCGTTTTATTCAGGGACGTGCTGGGGTCTTGAAAAGGACGACGAATGAGCAACGTATGATTGGGCCCAGGCCCAGTGACCGATGGATCAAGATTGGGGTGGGGAGGTATTACTGATCGAACATGAAACATTTCATTCGCCAATTAATCTTTTTCCAAAAAAACTGTTGGCGGTGTGGAGTAAAACAAACTTTTTGCGAACACAACATTGTTGGCAGTAACTTTCGAATTAATGTACCGTAATTTGTAAAATTTTTCGGTAATATTTTCGTAAATTTAGATTTTTAAAATATAAAATAATTGTAATATCTTAATGACTTAATCTTGATTTTCAAAATTTAATCTATATTTTTTATTTTATTTTATATAGGGGCCCATAATGGCAGGGGCCCACAGTAAGTACTCGCTGGCTCGTCCCTAGCCACCACGTCCCTGGTTTTATTCCATGTCCCAAAAGAAATCCTTCGGGCAGAACACGAATATATGAATATGCAACCCCCCAGTTATGGAAGGAAATTTCGCTGTTTTTGGAAGGAAATTTCGGAAAAGATAAAGATGAGAAAAGGAAATTTGGTTGTGAACGAGTGGAAGCATTGGTTGAATGAAAACAGTGCTTCCAATTTCAAGGAAATTTCCTTTTCTAAGGAAATTCTACTGTCGAAAAGGAAAATCTAAGGAAGAGAAAAAATCAGTGGCGTAACGGGAGGGTGTCAGGGTGTCCAGTGACGGGGGCCCCCCGAACTTTAGGGGTCCCCGACAAAAATGACCTTAAAAAATTTGATAGCACATTTCTGGGGAATTGAATTAA